ATATATACATATTCATGTGCCGTGTCACGACAATGGAAAGGGAAGAGGCAATAAGGTATGTGAATAAAAATTCTTTGATATGAAAAATTCTTTTAATATTCCCCCGATGCCCACACAGGACGCGCAAACTCTCTGCGTAGCGCCGAAGCGTTAAAAAGGGTTGAGGAATAATAATAATAATAATAAAAAAAAAGAAAAAAAGGAAAAAAAAGAAATAGAAAAAAAAAAGAAAAGAAAAGAAGAAGAAGAAGACATTCTCTCACGCTCGGGACGACGTAACGAATGGTACGTCGTTGCACAAAAAGGTACGTAGGAAGTAAGAGGCGATGTAAAAAAAAAGGGAAAGAAATAAAGAGGGAGGGAAGGGGATAGGGCGAGAGAAGGAGAGAAACGACGATGATGGGAGTAAGAGAGAAAGAAAAGTGTAGGAAAAAAAAGTCTAGTAGGAAAGGTAGTGGGGGAAAGTAAAGTCAGTTGCGTGGGGCGCCACTAGAGAACGATACGCTCCTGATTAGAACCCATTCACAGAATGAACGAACCGCTTGCGTTCCGTTCGTGTAGTCACTCAGTAGTGTCATGGAGGTAACATGGCCGAGGAGACGCGCCTAGTTCGCGTTGAAGAGAGACTAAGGATTAAAATCGGTAGGAGGATTAGTTTCGAAGCCTCAATTTAATCGTTGTTTTAGGAGGTTAATCGTTATTATTGTGGTTCGAATTTTTATCGATTAATCCTACGATTTATTTTCGATACTTCGACTAACGTGCTTTTCGTGCTTCGAAAGAGAAACAGAGAGAGAGAGAGAAAAAGAAAGAAAGAAAAAGAGAAAGAGAGAGAGAGTGGGTGAGCAAGCAAGCAAGCAAGCGAACGAACGAACGGACGAACGAACGAAACGAAACGAAACGAACGTAGAAGCTAGCAAGAGAAAGAAAAAGAAAAGAAACGAGAGTGAGTAAGTGAGTGAGTGAATAAAACGAATGAACAAAAATTAAGAAGGAGAGTTTTTCGAGTTCGATTATTTATTAATCGATCATGCTTAGAGGATATTCACTTAATTCGATTTTTATTTGATTTGATGTTTTTTCGAAACGTGTTTATGATAAATATTACAAATATAAAATGAAATTTTCTTCTCGTTGTTTCGTGTCGTCCGTGCGCGTGTCTGCCTGCTTCTGCTGCTGCTGTATATGTGGTCGATGAACAGGAAAGATGTGTGTGTGTGTGTGTGTATATTTGTTTAATCGGAGTCACACGCGCGATTCGAGGACGAGAATGAGAAGCAAACGGGATGGGACGGACACGGTGTTTCCGTCTCCCTGTAACGCGACGAACGAACCCTTTCCTTGAAATTTTCAATCAACCTATATGTATATATATATATATATATACGTATACGTACATTCTCACTCCCACGCGTCGGTGTTTCTGTGCGCGCGCGAAGCATGCCTCTTTGTGCGCGATTAGAGTGTGTGTGTGAGTCAATGTGCGTACCGTGTATATATATGGATCTATATGATTATGTTTGTATTAGTGTGGTTCCTCTTTATTGTGTGTATGCGTTTCTACAAAGTGTATATATGTATATATGTGTGTATCTGTTTGTATGTGGTGGTGGTAGTGGTTCCTCTTTATTCATGTGTGCGTTCCTACGCAAGTTTTTATCTGTTCCTCTTCTTCTCTCTATGTTTGATACTTTATATATATGTAATATGTGTGTGTGTATATATATGTCTAACACGGCTCAGTGTACCTGTCGCGTATGCGTATATATATATATATATATATCTCTTTCTTTCTTTCAGTATGCGTTCAGCGTGTCGCGTGTTTCTCTTTCTCTCTCTCTCTTTTTTTTTGCATCTCGCTATCCTTTTTCTCTTTCGTTCTTACGACTATGTGTGTATGTTTTTCTCTTTCTCTCTCTCTCTCTTGATCGCAGGAAACGAAATCGTGGCTGAGAAGCGTATACACGACGATAAAATTCCTCCGCGTGCAAACCGCGCGGTCTACCAATAGAGAGAGTGAGAGAGAGGGGGGAAGAGTGAGGTATTTTCTTTCTCTCTTTCTCTCTTTATATATATATATATTTCTTTCTCTCTTTTTCCCCTCTTTGCTTGCTTCGGTTTTCTTCGAAAGATGTGAAGAAAGAGAAGACAGGATGTTCGTTCAAAAGATTCGATGGAAAACGAATCGGAGGATGAACTTTTAGATCATTGGACTGCACTCAACACACACACACAACCTTATGACTCCGCCTACTTTTTTATTTTTTTGTTTTTAAATATTTTTTTGTTTTCTAATTTTTTTTCTGATTTTCTTTTCTCTCTCTCTCTCTCTCTCTCTCTCTGATTTTGTATTACTTTCTGTGATAATATTTTATTACTTATACAGTTTTGTTTAATGAACAAACAAATCCTTTCTGCTTCTTTTGATAATTTCACAAACTTGTTTTCTATTAGGTATAAATTATTTTCTTTCATTTATATACTAATCATCTGACTATACAAATATCTCATTCTCACGTATCATATTTCCATTGTTTTAGTTTCGTATTTTTCGATTTAAACGATTTAAACGCGTCATCGAATAATAATAATAATAATAATAATAATAATAATAATAATAATACACGACGTCTCTCTTCATTCTTAGAAAAACTGACAATGAGTGTATTTAACTTTAATATGTGTCATTTGCATTTAAAAATGGTTACAATTATTACTTGTATTATCTGTCTCGTTTAAAGTAATACTGACGTAATTTTGTGGTTTAAGATTGTTGTTTTATTTTATTGAATAATTTTATACGCATATCATTAAGATGATATATATATATATATATATATATATTATTTATCATTATTTATAGGTGAAGCAAAAAATTTACAAAGTAGAAGTCATGGATCTCCAGGTACTAGAGATGTATACTGTGCGTTGTCTCTTGACCAGGAAGAAATATTCAGAACGACGACCATGGAAAGGACGCTTAAGTAAGTATACTTTTAATATCATTTGAGATGATCAAAGATTTAGAAAGAAACTTTTGTTTTATTCCCTTTTAATTTTTCACAATCTTTGGATATTGAAAAAAGCATTTCATTTTATGCAGTCCTTTCTTCGGGGAGGAGTTTCAGTTCGAGGTACCCCGCAAATTTCGATACCTTGGTATTTATGTCTACGATAGAGATAGGCACTTAAAACAAGACAAAATTCTGGGAAAAGTAGCAATAAAGAGAGAAGATTTAACTACGTATCATAATAAAGAACATTGGTTCCCATTAAAACCAGTTGATGCTGATTCTGAAGTACAAGGCAAAGCTCATTTAGAACTCGCTTTGCAACCACAAGTTGGACACATTCAACCTAAACTTACAGTCAGGTAAATCAACATTCTTGACTCTATTTAAAGAGTTGATCTATTATTATACCTAATGTTAATTATTTGTGCATGTTACAGAGTAATAGAATGTAACGATTTAACTATTAAAAATGGTGGCTGTGATCCATTCGCAACTGTTACCGTCATCTACAGTAATGGCAAACAAATATCAAAGCGTACTAAAGTTAAGAAAAAAACTGTATCGCCCTACTTCAATGAGACATTTGTTTTTGAGGTGTGTATACTTTTTGTAAGATTGCATTTATTTCATTATTTATTAATTATCATATATATGTTTTATAATTGTACTGTGCTTACAGCCAGAGTTAATGGAATATAAAGACAAAGATGTATCTCATTACTCTATCGATGGAGGAGAAGTTGGTGAAGTTGTTGTTGGCTTATGGCATGCGTCTCCTGGTATGGGAGAACAACCTGCATTTTTAGGAGAAGTGCGTGTTACATTAAGAGGACTTCAAAAGCAACCAACTAGTACAACGACTGCTTGGTATGCTTGATTTTATATCTCTATCTATCTATTTAATTTGTTACATTGAGTATTTTTTTTGTTTCTAATCTTAATTTTTATTTTATTAGGTATTTCCTTCAACCAAGAGCAGCAAAACATAGACCAAATAAAATTTCAAGTAATTCAACTCCACCTGGTACTCTTCCAGGATTAGGATCTTTACGTTTAAAAATACATTATACAGCCGATCATGTTTTCCCTTCTGTAGTGTATGAGAGATTACGAACGTTATTATTACAAAGTGTTAATGTTCAACCAATAACATCATCTGCTGTATATATTTTGGGTGAAATTGTGGCTTCTAAAATGGAAGCTGCACAACCTTTAGTTAGAGTGTTAGTTCATCATGGACAATTAGTATCTGTGATGCGAGCACTTGCAAGTCATGAAATTTCTAAACTAACGTAAGTTTCCTTTTTAAAATATATATGTATATATATTACATTTCGATATATATATAATGTAGAATTATTATTTTATTTTACAGAGATCCGACAACTATTTTTCGCGGTAACACATTAGTCAGTAAAATGATGGATGAAGGAATGCGATTAGCTGGTCTTCATTATTTACATAGTACATTAAGACCTGCCATGGAACAGGTTTTTTTGGAAAGGAAACCGTGCGAAATAGATCCTACGAGAGTAAAGGATGCAAATACGATACAAACAAATTTAGCAAATCTAAAGGTAATAAAATGATTGACATAGACATTTCAATTTAATTGAAATGAAATCTCTTAATTTGTCTTTTTATTTTGTTTCTTTTTTCTATACCTATAAACAATGAATCGTCATTTTTTAGGAATACGTAGAAAGAGTATTCACGGCTATAACAACATCCGGTGTAAGATGTCCGCCATTGATGTGCGAAATGTTCTGGTGTTTACGAGAACTCGCTGCAACTCATTTTCCAAAGAATAAAGAAGTACGTTACTCGGTTATAAGTGGTTTTATTTTTCTTCGATTTTTCGCACCTGCGATATTGGGACCAAGATTGTTTGACATCACTACGGAACAAATTGTAAGTAATTGTTGTATAATCATTTTTATAAATTTATACAATCATTTTTAAATATATTTTTAAATATATTAATTTACAGGATTCTCAAACGAATAGAACGTTAACATTGATATCTAAAACAATACAAAGTTTAGGAAATTTAGTGAGTTGCAGAGGAGGAGCTGGTAGTGTTTGTAAAGAAGAATATATGGAATGTGTATATAGGTATGTAATCAATGATAAATATGTATTAAATAAATACATAATAATTAATGGAAAATGAATCATATTTTCTAGTATAATTCATAGTTCATTTTTTCAGAGAATTTTATACGGAAAGACATATACAAGCTGTTAAACAATTTTTGGAACTAATATCGACTAGTAGCAGTAGCGGTGCTACGAAACAACGACCTACGATGTTGCAAGAACAACCTGTGGTGCTAAAAGAAGGGTAAGTTTAATTTATTTATTATATCGAATTTTTTTTTGTTCTTTTTTTTTTAATAAGATAAAATTATATATAATTGAAGTTATCTTTTTTATATGTTTCTAATAGAATATATTTCCTTTTTGTGCATATTACCGAATGTAAGAGGTTTGTATTGCGAACAAAAAAAAAAAAAATTAAAAAAAAAATATATAAAACAAATGTCTATAGAAAGTTTTGTTACATTATATTTATAATAATTAATATATTATTGTTTATTACAGAATAATGATCAAAAGGGCTCAAGGTAGAAAAAGATTTGGTAGAAAAAATTTTAAACAAAGATACTTCAGATTAACTACTCAAGATTTAACTTACTCCAAAACGAAAGGTAAAGAAATATGCCGAGGTTGTTTGTGTTACATTTGATATGACGTTAACAAATTATTAAAAAATACTTGAATAAGTTTGTAATTTGATTTTGACAGGTAAAGAACCTTTATGTAAAATTCCATTAGAGGAAATACTCGCGGTTGAAAGGTTACACGAAGATTCTTTCAAGATGAAGAATATGTTTCAAATAGTACAACCTCAAAGAGCATTGTACGTTCAAGCAGGTAATTGCGTGGAAGAAAAAGAATGGATCGACATACTCACAAAAATATGTCACACGAATAGTAATCGATTAGAAAAGTATCATCCTAGCGCGTATATCAATGGTCATTGGCTTTGGTAAGTAAAATATATTATAGTATAATATTATTTTGAATTATCTTATAAATAATATTATTCTCAATTGATGATTATAGTTGTCGCGCAGCATCAGAAGTAGCACCAGGATGTAGTGAAGTGTCACCAGGTATAGAAGCTGGTTTACGTATGGTTCTAGATCCGGACAGAGATTTACAAAGGATACATTCATTGATTTTCACCAATATGCCTCGTCTTGAAACATTAATGAGTGCATGTGAGTGTCAGGCAGTGTATGGGGCGAGTGATATGTGTGTGATACCAGGTGGAGGATCTCTTATTGAAGACGTTCCATCTTGTTTTAAAACTTTAAATGCGTTGAGAGATGCAGCATATCTTTTGCAACACGAACATAGGGCTTACTTTAGAAGAGTGGCCCGTGACACCAAATATGGAAGCAAGTGAGTTCTATATATATATATATTTTATTTTAAAATATTTCTTTCGTTTTTGTTTTATGTATATATATTTTGTTAATTTTTATTTTAGACAAGCACCAATTGGCGACGACAATTACCTCCATTTAGCTGCCAGAGCCGGTTTCGATAGTCAGCTAACTAAACGTGCTTACGAAACGGATAGTTTGAATCAACGCAGTTGCACGGACTCAGATCATTGCTACGATATTGGATTTTCTAGACGAATAGAAGATCGAAGATACGACGATACGCTAAGGAAATGTCTAGATTCAGACTCCATCAATCGTAGGTATGAGAATGAAAGTAATTTGTTAAGGCGGTACGATAGTAATACCGATACTATTAAAAGTATACAAAATGATCTCAAAAAATTTGATCATAGTTTAAACAATACGTTAAGATCTGATAAATCTGAAAGAAATGCTAATGAAAATATGGAAAATCGTAAAAGACTTGATAACTCGGCTTTGTTGGCGATAGACGGTGTTAATCTGTCGGGTACACTTTCAAGAAAGTTAAATAATTATGATAATACTAGAAAACTAGATGAATGTACATTGACAAGAAGAATAAGGGACGACATAAGTGACATATCCTGTACTGCTATGAGCGAACGTGGCAATCATTAATTTATCTCTTGTGTAATATAAAGAATATACATGCTCTACGTTCCTAGGACACATTTTTAGGAAACTTTGTCCGTGCATTCGCATTAGTTAGATTTCAAGAAGAAAAAGAAGAAGAGATGGCAGTCGAATTCAAACTCCGATTATAATAATATAAGGCTATATTTTTTTACTACTCAATATAACAAACAAAAAAGTATATATATATATATATATATATGTACGTGCACACACTCATATATATGATGTGTGTGTGTGCGCGTATTATTAATAATATGTAATATTGCTTTTGCTTACATATTGTTGACTCTTGTGTAATAGAGGGGGTCATCTTGTTTCTTTTTTTTTTTGTTTTGTTTTCTTTTCTTTTCTTAATTAATACACGCGATTTCGATATACTTTTCTTTTTTTCTTCGATTACTACATAAGTTTTAATTGTCTCTTTTTATGCGTACAAAATATCTTTTGAAGTTAAGAATATTAAGAGATTTTTTTTTTTTTTTTTTTTAATTAAAGAAGCCATTCGGGTTTCTTATCTTTTTCTTTTTTTCTTATCACGCCTTAGAAAACTGATGAACATCTCATTACGACAAGACATAAATTTCTATTATTTATTTATTTATTTTCATGTCATTAAACAAATAAAAAACTGATAATGTATGTGCATTAACATGATGCAATAACACAATGTGTGTTATTAATTACATAAGCTATAATCTCATTGACTGGTGATATTTAATCATCGCCAGTGTTAACTGATAAATGTTTAGGGAACATGATAGTTATTTTTAATTATATTATTTTAGATAAATATATTTAATATCATTATTATTATTATTATTACTATTATTATTATATTATTATTGTTATTATTATTATTATTATTATTTCTTTTTCTATTCATTCATAATTCCATCAATTTATAAAAGAGATATAAATATCTGTAAACAGATTAATCGAAAATATTTGTCATACAGTTGTTTTTTTTTTTAATTTTTTTAATTTTAAATCTGACATTTAAATAGATGTCAATTTAAATGAAATTAATTTGATTCTTGCTTGAATAATACAAGAAATGTTTAAACAAAATTAAAGCTTGTTATTCCAAAGAGGCCTAAGTGCTAAACAGTTCTAAATTGAAATATTTGCAAATCACTGTTAGCAGCATTGTGAAATATTGCTAAATGCTTGATATGTTAAATTATTTCTATCATGTATCGTTAATTTTATTATTAATGTTATTAATATTATTATTACTATTATTATTATTATTGTTGTTATGATTATCATCATGACTATGAAAGCATAAGTAAAATTCAAAAACAATGATCATATATACGCAAGCATTGAAAATTCATGACAAATTGATATTTTACTTGTCTTTTCTTTTTTCTTCATCATTATTCTCACATTATTTTTAACAATCAAAACGATATCATTAATTTCCACGTTATATTCAGATGTTAAATAATTTTCTATTGTGCATTTATTTAAAAGATATTAAAATAATGATAATCACGTTAATTTTAATAAATTGATGGCTTGTCGATTAAATGTTAAACAAATATATATCTCGTTTTACTTAATATTAGACGAAAAATGAATAATAAATAATGATAAGAGATACTTTTTAGAAGATTTTCTCTATATTTCTTTTTTTAATAACAAATGAAAATTTTCTCATTAGGTTTATAACTTGGAAGAGGTCAAGAAAAACAAATAATTAAGAATACGCATCTGATCTGCTATTTACAAGAAAAAAATGTGTCCATCCCCTGTATAGGAGGGGGAAAAAAAAAACAAAATGAAACAAAGATCTTAAATTTTTTTTTTTTTACAAATGAGACTGCTATCTTTTTTCATCACAATAATATTCTGTCTTTATTATTACACACACATATATATATATATATATATATATATATATATATTTGTGTAATAATAAATGTATTATATTTATATTATTTTTTAAATAATAAATAAATTGTTAAGACAATTGGCATTTATTAAGAATCAACAATTATATTTTGTTAAACTAATATCTAATAATAATAATAATTGTAAAAATGTGCGTGTGCGTCTCTGTATGTGTGGTGCACAAGGAAAATAGTTAGAAACTAACATTTTGTATATCATTATTAAATTAATTATTTCTTTGCAATTTACATGTCAAATATATTTGTTAAATTTACGACACGTTTAATATAACAAAAATATATCTGAGGTTTTTTTTTTTGGAGTATATTTAGGATAATAATATTAATAATTATTATTAATAAGATTGCCACACATGGTATACATGCAATGAAAAATTATATATGTATATATATATATATATATATATATATGCATATAAAATTGGTCAATTAGAGAAAATAAATTAGATTTTTTGTTAAAGTATTAAACTTAAAATATAATAGAGGCAAACAAAAATATTTGTTTCTTTCTCTCTACATTTTTATCTTTTTTTATATAATTTATTTAAAAAAAAAAAAAAAGATGAAGTACGTAGAAAGTAAACAATTTCTGAATATGCGATTTCAATGCTTTTGCTGGTCATTTTTATTGGTATTCGCATATATAAAAATTAAAATACTACGTTTTAATTAAATTTTCTTTAAAATTCGTGCAAATTTACTTCGAATATAATATTCATAACACTTTGAAAATTCATTTGTATGTATATATATATGTATAAAATAACAAAAAAAAAACAAAAAAACAAAAGGTACGCGATCAAGGAATAGTGTACTTTTGTATTCTTATTGTTTTTTGTTTTGTTTCTTGTTTTCATTTTTTATATCGCGCAATTCTAAGTTAATAATATATTATTACGAATAATATAAAAAGAAAATCCCTCCAAAAAATAAAAAAAAAATCTATTAGAGACAAGAGATGTATAGTAGAACGAATGTGAAATAAAGTCATAAATAAAAAAACGTGGCAGTTGTTAATAGAAAAAAATGTATGTACAGTTGATTTTAATTGTTATGGCCTATTAATTAATTATTGCAGATATTATGTAGTTTTACAAAAAAAAAAAAAAAAAAAACAATACAACAACAAAAAAAAAAGAAAAGAAAAAAATCATTTTAAACTCCTTATTCTTACGATAATAATATATAATATTACAGTGTACAGTGTACAGATTGCTTTTACTTTTCATGTTTTAGAGAATGTGACTTTATTAAAAATTCGTTTAGAATTATTATTAATAATAATAATAATAATAATAATAAATATCTAAGATATATAATTGTTAGTAAGTATTTATAGATTAATCAAAGTGTTTATATATATTGGACAACAATATTGTTATTTAATTATTTCACGACTACAAATTTATATTGAAAATGTAGTTTTGAGAAAACTTGACATATCCGTACAAGGCCTTCAATTGCATAGGATTATTATAATAATAGCGTTTGGCTTATTGTCCAATAAAGATAATCATCGACACTAACAATGTATAAATAAATATATAAATAAATAAATAAGTAAATTATGATGTAGAGGCATAAAATTATAGATAAGTGAAACAAAAAAGTTCGTAAAATTTTTTGCAAACAAAATATTCATTTTTAATACAGAGGATTGAATTATCTTTCTCTTTCTCTCTCTCTCTCTTTCTCTCTCTCTCTCTCTCTCTCTCTATGACTTCTAAACTGCAAGAATCTTCTGAATAAAAAAAGTGATCAAATTAATAAGTTTATTTTCAAACGAATAATCAATGAAATCTCTTCGTATTGTAATTGTACATTTTTTAAATTAATTAATTATCTAATTTATTGTTAATCGATGATTATAATGCGAACGATACGAAAATTTGTTTGTTAAACATATTATACACGCGTACGTAGATTTGGGTCTATTTTTTTCTTCTTTTAATTGTAAATGACAAAGAAAATATATTCGTAATGATTTTCTTTGTCGTATGAAATAAAATATAATAATAAGATCGCTTAATGATCAATTGATAAATAATAGTAGTAATAATAATAATAATAATAATAATAATAATAATAATAATAGTAATGGGAATTTATTAAGAGGATATTATGTGACTGCATTGAAAATATATATATGTATATATGTATATACATACATACATGCATACATACATATATTGTATATTAGATATTTTTGTTGGAATTTTATCGATGCAGATGAACATGGTAATTCTACTTATCAGCGGTATTATTTATATTAATTTTATTGTATTAGTAATTTAATAACACTTTTGTATACTCTTTCGTTGTGTTCACCAAGTAACTATTGTTATCTTGCAGAAGTTCTTAGTATAGACTGTGCCTTAAATTTCTCTCGAGGACCTACGAAAAAATAATTGAAAAAAAAAAAAAAAAATAACTACGTTTCTTAAATCTCTACAGAGGATTATATTTCATTAATTATTTATTTTCAATTGAGAATTTGAAGAAAGGGGGGGTGTGCTCTGTAATAATATATGATACACCTTCTGCGTGTATTTTTATTAATATTGTACATACGTTTACTGCAATAAACGAATATGTCCTCTGATGAAATTTGTTACTTTTATCCTTCCCTCTTTTTTTTATAAATTTTATTTTTTTTATTGAAATTTGATTTAAAATTTAAATCGTTCAAAATACGCGCGCCGATTGATATTGGCGCGCAATTCGAATTAGTGACTCATTTAATTCGTCGAACGTATAGCGGATTTTCTTGTTTTGGTAGAACTGTCCTACCGTTAAATACGTTTTCGTAAATCTAATGCAAGTGAATGTGGTGCCGCGAGTGTTCGACATTCAAAAAACTTTAAATTTCAATCATTTATCATCCAACAAGGTGAAAAATTTGAAAATAAAATAATGTCGGGTGACGTACAACCAAGAAAGCGAAAAGATAGGAGACGCAAGAAAGGTAAAATCTATACTAATAAAGAATTAGTCTTTGATAGACTTTCGTAACTTGGATACTTAAAGATGAAAGATTATTTTTAGCACAACGTTCTCTCTTTCTCTCTCACCTTTTTTATTTTTTATTTTTGTCTTTGGAAAATGCGTATTGGTGTTTTATTAACGCGCGGCCCTTTGTTTTCCAAGAGAATACAATTTATCAATATTTTAATACAATTTTCTTTCTGATCATTTAACTTTCCTTTTTTGTATTTCTTTTTTTATAATTAGACACTACGATCTATCTCTCTATACTTTTAAATTTTATAATCTTTATCTTATCGTGAATGATCAAATTTAACGATCAATTTTTATGTACAAAATATTTTAATTCTTTGCAATACTTACGAAAGAAAAGAAAAACCAAAAAAAAAATCTATTAAAATGTTTAGTAAAATAATTAACTCTAATTTTTATAAACTTATTGTTAAATAAAAATTATCTATATATATATATAGATATACGTGTGTGGAAATAATTTTACATATCAATTTTTTCGATAAATATCAAAATGGCGTTCGAAAAAATATTACATTTAATCGCTTGTATATAAATTAAAAAAATTAAAAAAAAAAAAATTAATTGGAAAAAATAGAAAATATTTTATCGAGAATTCATAATGTATGGATAACATAAATATATTTATAGTACGAGGTATACGAGTTATATAATATAAAACATGACAGAGAGAGAGAGAGAGAGATATCTATAGAATTAAATGAAAAAAAAAAAATTAACTTTTATTAGAAATGAAATTCATAAAAATTTACGAATATTAAATATTTAATATAAATTAAACGTACGTAAACAATTTCAAATTAATATTATAATAATTACGCGTTAAAATACGTTGTCTAACGCGTATCTTTTATTCGAGAAAGAGTAGCATTGTATGTTTTAACGTAAAATCAGCATGTATATGAAAATTTACATAAATCCAGGCGCAGGTTTGGCAGTGTCACCTAAGTTAGAAAATGTGGGTTTTAGATACTCTGCCAGGCTGGCTTTTGGCTTTCAAAAATAGATTTACTTGTATTATCCAATCTAAAAGCATTTCTTCGTCAAATTATTTATCATTTTTAAAAAATTTTTTTTATATTATTTTTTTAAATTTATTTTTTCCATTTTTATTTAATAATAAATAAAAAATAATATTTGAAAACAACTGCGTTCGGCCATTAATACGCAACACGTTATAATTTCGTAACGATATTATATTATTATTATTATTATTATTATTATATTTAATTTATTTAGATGAGGAAGAATCGGGTACACCTCCACCAACGTTGACGAATACATCTGAAAGTGTGATAGATAACGTTAGCATACATATTTATAAAGAAAATAGTACGGGTGGCCATTGGTGCGCGCGTATTATATTTTTCATATTACTTGCTGTATTAATTGCATTAACCGGAGTTATTATTTTTGAGCATAGAGGAACTACAGATGGTAAGCTATAAAAAAGAAAAATTAAATATAATTAATTAAATGCATAAATTAAATAATAATAATAATAATAATTGTAGTTGATACACCAATAGCTGAATCAAGGTGGGCTAGTATATTTGATGGATGGGTTGATGATACCCTTCCAAGTCATGGGGATGAATCCTATGATGAAAAAGAAGTAGAAGGTAGTGAGGAAGAAGAAGAACACGAAGAAGAAGAAGAAGAAGAAGAAGAACATGAAGAAGAAGAAGAAGAGGAAGAAGAGGAAGAAGAGGAAGAAGAGGAAGAAAGAACGGAAGAAGAAGAAGAAGAAGAAGAGGAGGAGGAGGAAGAAGAAACAGTTGATGCGATAACAAAATCAGCTGAAGAAGAAGAAGAAGAAGAAGAAGAAGAGAGAGAAGAAGAAGGTGAAGAGGGTGAAGAGGAAGAAGAGGGTGAAGGGGAAGAAACTGTTAAAGAAAATGAAGATGATAATGAGGATGAAGGTTTAGGTAGTGAAGAAGTGAATAAATATGAGGAAAATGATGATGAAGGAGAAGAAGGAGAGGAAGAAGAAGATGATAAAGAAACGACAATTTCAAAGGAAGAAGCTGACGAAGATGAATCCAATATGGAAGGTAATTAAATCGTGTAAATAGATATAAAATATCAACTTAAAACAAAGCTAAATATTGTACATACGTATTATTAATATTTGATATTTGATATTTGATATATTAGATTAAAGCTTTATAGAGCATAGAAATGCATAGGACAGTTGTTATTTGTTTATAAAAGCTTTGTTTTATATATATATATATACATACATATATAATAATATATTTCTGCAAATTAAATAGACCTACCCTCCCCCCCATAATTTTGTCATCGCAAATCATAAAGAACAACTCTAAATGCAAAAATGGATCGAAGATTATTACAAAATTACACACATACACATAAATATATAATATCACCATTATCATCGAAATTTTGTGTGAATTTAATATTAATGATAATAAATTATTTAAATATATATATATATATGTATATGTATATATATATGTATATATATTGAAGATGAGGGTGTCGATCGTGGAGAATCTAATATGGAAGATGACAACGACGATTTAAATCAACAAAATTTTGATGACACTGATGTGCTAGAAGAAATGGATAATAAAAGTGACGAAGATAATGATAATAATAACGACAACGATAATAATAATGATAATGATGATGATGATGATAACGATGTCGAGGATAGTATCTTAAAAAAAGACACGAATAATTATTACATTAGTAAAGAAATTGTTGATGAAGTTTCTGAGGAACGACAAGAAGAAGATGAGGTGTTTGAGGAATTTGTTGCTATACCAGGTGTACTCGAAGTGGACGATTACAGTGCTGAACCTTTGGAAGAGGTATATTAAATATTTATATATATATTATGTAAATATATTTTACAAGATATCCCAAATTTTGTTTCTATCATATTTTTTTATCAAAGTATACACATGCAATGCATTTTCATTTTTCTTTTATCTTTTTGATTATTGGTAGTTTATATTTTATCGTTAGATAGAGGATGGAGAACCCGAAGAAGATGTGAATGATGTAGACATTGAACCGGAAGTTGAAGAAATACAAGAAGAAGAAGAAGAAGAATCTACGAGTGGTAAGTTTCATATACAGAATGTATATTTTATGTGTATTATATTTGGTCAGTATTTTTTATTTAATAATAAATATATTATGTTACACAAATAAATGGTCAATAGAAATATTTTCTTGAAGAAATAATTATAAGTGTCAAAATTAAAATCAAACGTATTTGTTTAATTTCATTAATTTTGATACAATTTAATTATATACAATTTACATTATTAAACTTAATTATATATATTATTAGAAATATTGATCGTTTATTTAATATATTGATTTAATAAAATACTGACCGAATAAAATATCCAAACTTTGGAATACTACGTAGTTCAAATATTAAAGGTTCATGTATTATATATCAGGAATAATCCTCCATGCTCTTTAATTTTGAAATGGTAACAAGATAATAAATTATATATGAAATGAAATTACAATCTCAGCGTTTATCGAAACATATTATGTATTATACATATATGCATGTGTTCAACTACGAACAAAAATATAAAAAAAAAAATCAGAAATACAATGTATAATGGTTACAGTGCCAGTGAAGTTCGGAGTTGGTGTTGCACTTATCATTGCTGCACATTTTGTTCTCGTTAGGCGATGGAACAACGGTAAATTTAATTATATATTTTATCAACGTCCGTATCTTTTTCTTATCGTTATAACTATAAATAATAATGAAATGAATAAAATCGTATATAGCAGCATATATTATAAATTATAACGAAAAAATGTTATAACACTTGAATGTTTTAATTGTATGTATGTAGGTGTTTTTGTTTTTTAACTTATGTTTTTTTTTTCTTATTCCTATAAGCATGTAACACATATATGTGATTGCAATTGTACTAACTATTGAGAATAATGTTTAATATTTTTTCATTATAGCATGTTTTAATGTAAGTATTGTTACATGTAAATTCGTTTTTTTTTTAAGTGCGTATCGTTGCATGATATACGACCTTTATATGGGTAAAATCTAGTAACGAAAGGATTAATTAAGAAAAATAATATATCTTTATAAATTATAGATTTTATAAATGTAAGTAATATCATTTAGGTAAGTAAATAATATATTATATATATGTCGTTGTTGATAATAAACATTATTATAATATTTTTTCAAAATTGATTTGTGTTAAATGTACTTATTATTTAAAAAAATAAAGTGTGAATTTTTTGATGAATAAAACAAATGTATAAATATATTTTCAGCCGATGCCGAATTAATTCGACTTTCCCATAACGACGAAGTGATTAATCTAACCAGACGGAATACTATAATAGTTCCACCATCGGTTAAAGAAACTGGAAAATTAAAAACAGAGGATAACAAGCAAACAATTACGCCAAAGAAGAAACAAACTTATGAGACTTTACGATCGCAATATGAAAAATTAAAAGATGACGATATACCGAAAAATGTTTCTCTAGAAAAAACTTCGAATCAATTGGAAGAAGAAATTTTGATTGCACGTAAAATACAAGGTAAGATTATGAAATAACTGAGAAAATTTCATGACGGTTTAAAAAAATGTCTGACTCATAATTTTATGAATTTTAGGGGTTGATAAAGTAAAAGAGAAACAACAATCGAAAGTTATGTCATCCGAAGAAGAAGAAACGGAAGATGTTGATGATGAATTAGAGACATCAGAAGGAGAACGTGTTTCGGGTGGTGAAGAATACGAAGAAGATGATGAAGAAGAAGAACAAGAACAAGAAGAAGACGAAGAGGAATTGGAAGATGAAGAGGAAGAAGTTGACGAAGAAATAGAAGATGTCGATGATTCGGAATTGGTTGCCAGATTAGAGGCAAAATATGGTAAATTGGCAACTCCGCAAGACAGTGAGCTTGAGGATGAAATAGAAGATGAAGAAGAGATTGAAGATGATTATGAAGAGGAAGAAGAAGAAGAGGAAATAGAAGACGAGGACATAACAGGATGGAAACGTAAATAATAAATCATATTCAAAATTGTATGTCGTTATGAATCCCTCCTGATCAGAGTGTGTCAATTAATAATTCAATGAAATGTTGACATATCTTTGTCGTTATATATATATACACGTTATTTAATTATTTACTCTCAGTTCTGTTTTATTTTCATTTCAATGATTTAATTAAATAAATCATAATTATTTTAAGTATCGTATACAAGAATAATGTAAATAATCTTGTTTGCTATTACGCAATGACAAGTATCATCGTTTCGTATATGTTTTATACATTGAGCATGGAGGATCATTTATATTTTGTGCTTTTATTAATATTCATTGAATGCTTTTACGTGTATCATTATCATTATCATCATATCATATTTTTCACAAAAAGAAAATCTACATACGTCGAGAGATTAGATTTTAATTAAATTCTATTTGCTTCATTTTAAATAAATGTAAATCAATAATTAATTTAATGATACATTAGCCATTAGAGCTTTTGTATGTATATATTAGCCATCGAGCAGTATATTAATATTCTTTTCTGTTTTTTATTGACAGGTATAAAAGCACCTAAAGAACCAATAGGACCATCTAAATCTGTACCTGCAACTATTGATAAATCTGGGATTAGTTCTAAACAAGGAGTTTCTACATCGAAAGGTGGTAAATCAATAAATGATTTTCGAAATCTATCAAGCCTGGATGATTTGATAATATACGAAGAAAGAGAAATACCTCTGGTTGGTATAATATTTAATAATATTTTATAAAAAATGCTAAAATGAAAATTAATGAAATAATTTCTATTTATTGTTTTTATAGGAAATTGATTAAAGTTTCACCCTCTGTAATCCATCTCTTAGCATTATCCATTTATTTCCATGGATCATTTTTTCATGTGTTTATATATATATGTATATATATATATATGCACACATACATAAAATACCAATTATGATTTCTTATAATTTTAAATGAGAACACGTAAATCTTTCATTGCGATTATTAATGTTAAAAGGTGAAAGAAAAATAATAATTAGAAGAAAATAAATCAACGATATAACAATTTAAGGATTAAAAAACAATAATAGAGGGAAATGATTATATGATTTCAATCAAAATGTGTATTTTCATCGAGAGATTTTAAGAAGTGATTTTAATCGTGACATCATTAGGTAAGATTATTAATTATATATACGTGTGTATATATGTATATATATCAAACTTTTTACATTTACATATTAGGTCGGATAATATATAAGTAATTTTTTATTATTATTATTTAGATTATTTAATATCTAAATAAAAAACGACAGTATTTTTTATATTTCTTTTTTGTTTGTTTTTTTCTTTTTCTAAAAATTGATTTTTCTAAATCAACAAAATATTATACTACATGTAGCATTAAATTGGCCAATAAATAAGGTCGGAATTTTGATTAACAAATATTATATATTTTAATGTTCGTTTAAATACTAAAATAATACAAATTCGGACATTATTGATTGGCCAATTAAACTTAATAAAAAATGTTACTTCAAATAAACATCATATAACATATTAATTAATTTAATTATTATTTTTTAATACGATATATCCAATAGCGATGCTCCCCCAATATTTCGTAAAATCGTCTCATATATATATATATATTTTATCAATGAAAGCTGAATTATTTTTATTTATTACAACTAGAAATATATGTACATGTGTATATAAGTAAATACATCTTATAACCACATAATATTTGAGGTATAACAATTTTCTTTTTTTTTTTTTTGCTTCTCAATTATGATAAAGATAATTTTTATATTTATTTTTCTTTTCACTTTTTTAAATATATATATATTTTGTTGTTATTTTTTATTTTTTTTTTTTTTTATACTAAGAAATAAAAGAGCAATTAAATATTTCTGTTAAACTTTTGAGCATCGTGATCTGTAAATATATGGAGAAGAAAATGGAAATTAAACTGACAGATTTGAAATCTATAAGAAATATTTTTCATAAAAGATATATATATATCACAACATATTTCTGGAAAAAAAAGAAAAACATAAATAATTTCTCTTATGCGGCAAATATCTTAACGTCATATTTAATATAATAATGGAGATAATGGTATATAAAATACTAAAGTTTGAAACCTTACAATTAGAGGATTTGTTTGTTTGTTTGTTTTTGTTTACTTAATATTGTAGTATTAAAATATCTGTCGTTAATATTATTTTTTAGTAAAATATTGGAGAATTCTTGTTATGTAAGACCTATTAGAGTAATGTAAAATTGCATATAATTATTATATATACATTTATATATTTATATATATATATTTATATTTATATAATATTATATATTATATAAATACACATATATATAAATATATATATGTATGTATAATTGTAACTTATGATTCTTTTACAGACAACATAACGAATTAAGCATTAAGTATAATCGAATTAATACTTATGCTTATGTCTGTGTTTGCGTGGAGAAGGTGATGGTGGACTATTAGCTCTATGTTTAGAAGAGGAAGAAGTACGTGGTGGTGGTGGAGGTGATAAGGATGGTGATCTAGCAGCACGTCTTTTTCTATCGTTACGTTCACTGCCTGGTGATCTTCTTGACGATGTTCTAGATGAAGAAAGTGATGGTGATGGGGTACGACGAATACGAGGTGGTGATGGAGTCGTTGGTACACGCTTTTTATATGGTGGTGATCGTGATCTACGTTTATTACGCGGTGATCTGCTGCGAGATCTAAAACATTATAAATCCTCATTAATTCATTCGTCATACATATACATATTATATATATATATATATATATATATATATATATATATATATATATATTTTTGTTTTGTCGTTGATAAATGTTATAATTGATTTTAGTTAATGCTTGTTAAATATTAGTCTATGTTATTTTAGATAAAAAAGAAAAAAGATAAAGAAAGAGATTTATAATTATATTGTTGTTTTATTAGATCAATATTTGTCTAGCATCTCATTTTTATATTGTTCAATAAATGCAATAGTTTTTCAAATACTACGATATACATGTATATGTATATATATATATATATATACGTTAATATAAATTATAATACATTATATATAACGTTATATTAAAATTATATATAAATTTATATATAATATTAAATATTATTTATATATAACGTTATATATAAATTAAATACTACGATATACATGTATATATATATATATATAAAATTATAAATATTTTGAAATTTAGCAAACAAATATAGATAATACAAAGAACAAATAATTTAAATATTAATCTATAATGTAAATATAATAAAATAATATACATATAGATATTTTCTTAATGTTTTTGTCTTTTCATTTAAATAATAATGAAAATATAAATAATAAATAAAAACTTTTATTTTCTTAAATAAACATTTTACCTGTATTTGTTGCTCTTAAATAAAGGACTCGATGATCTTCTTCGATCTCTGTAATGACTTGGAGATTCCGGTGTTGTACTGCGTTTCTTTTCCCTCCTTTTATCGTCTTCTCGGTCATCAGTTTTCAGGTCCTTCATTTCTCTTTCGCTCTATAATAAATATACATATATATATTAATAATAAAGTTTTATTTAAAAAGGATATTAAAAAAATGTAAAGAGAAAATAATATACTACCTTTCTTATTAATTTCCTCCTGTAATGTTCAACTTGTCCTTGAATAGTCATACCAGTTTTTAATGTTCTCCTACCACTTTCAAGTTCATCTTGATATTGCATAGTTTTAACTTCTATTTCACGTAACCTATTACGCCTTTCTTCATTGTAATCTCTACTACTATAGACATATACAGTGTTTGATGAATATATAACTTTAAATTCTCAACATATTTTCAGTTTAATCTTTTGAAACGTTCGCGATACTTGGACCATGCTGTTACCTTAGGGTGTATATATTACCTGGAATCCATACTAGCATCTTGAGAATTTGAATCATCATTTTGACCTAATTCTTCCCACTTACTAGTAGTCATAGCTTGTGCTTCAACCTAATATTTAAATCAAAAGTACATTTATATAATTGTATTTTTAATATTTCATATATTTTATGTATATTCTTAAATAGTTTTCTTTATGTAATAAAAAGAAGAAACTAATTTAATATATTTATATATATATATATATATATATGTTTGTAAATACAAAGAATTTTTAAAAACCTGGTCTGGGTCTACTGTTTCCCATCTTGAAGGTACAAAACCAGCTGGCATTACTGGTTTCTTTTCATCTTCTTTATTACGTAAATTTGAATTATCTTCATCATCCATAGGAACACCATCGATATCTTCATCCACTATTACAATTGAATAAAATATTTATTAGTATATACTTATTAATAAAGCATTAAATGATCTATAGAATATATTGACACAGTTTGATTGGACAAATTTTAGACATCTTGTATATTAAATATAAATAATAAAATATTCTTACTGGGTACACCATCGATATCGTCATAATTGGATGTTGTTTGCGGTGTAAGCCCATGTTTCATTGCTCCTTTAAGTAAAGCAGCACCATCCAAAGGTACACCATCTAAATCTTCTCCACCTTCACCATCAACATCAGATAAAGGTGCTCCATCTATGTCTTCTTCGTTTTCTGGTTCAGGCTCATCTAACTAAAATAAAAAATACAAGAGAAAAAATACATCCCACTTAAATTTGATTTTAATGAAATATTTCATATTTACCGTTACAAGGCCCAAAAATGTATTTTGTAATTTAACAAGAAAATCTCTCGGATAAACTGCCCAATCTTCCCACGCTCTAAACATTCTCATAACACGCGCTTTGAAACCTTCAGCTTTTAGTCTACTGTCAAATTGTTTGTAAGCTTGATGTACTTCGTTAAAAATATCAAGAAGACGCGTTTCAAATCTGTAAGAGATACAAATTTAATGAATA